TCGATTTGGAGCACGACAGCAATCTGGACGTTCGTAGGAAAAAGGTGGCTCAAGATGGCGTAGCTTTTATTTCCTTTTGAAAACTCTGATTTCCTAGCCATTTATTTCTCACGTTAACAGTGGGTGGTTGTTTTCGTAACCATAACATTATCTTTTTTTATGCTATTGCGCTGTAATGTTTTTCATGTATACCCAAGTTATGTCACGTGACCGCCTGTAAACAAACATTTCCCAATGCATCTATTGTGTCACTGTTTTTCAGTGCTACCAATACATTTTTAATTGAATATCAAAAATTGTAGCTTGGTGGTTAGTATGCTAGCCCTAATCAAACTTGTAGACAGGATTTTCAAAGAGCGCGGGAGAGGTGAGTCTTTAGGTTGAGCTGCATTCACACCGAAGCCGAATTCAGTTCGTATGGTTAACAAAACGAAAAAAGAATATCAAATCAGTGGTAAAGAATAGAGGCGTGTACTAAGACGCGCATTGATAACGTTCTACGAACCGAATTCGGATTCGGTGTGAATCTACCTTAAGACCTAAAGACAGCCACAGATGGTGAAGATCGAATGTACACTGAAAGGTTATTCCAGACGAGTGGCGCCTCGCACGGAAAAGATTTGTTACCAATACACTTGTTAAAGGTAATAAACTAATAACATTTCTGGAAGAGGTGGGAGGGGGGTTCTTTCAAACCTCCTGGTTATCGGTTTGCTAATCCTAGGGGTTTGGGTTCAAATCTTATAAGGATGTTTTCTCATGACTAAATCATAAAGTGTGTTTTTAATATGAATGGTTGGTAGGATTATATTAGCAGGCCTAGACGCTTACACATGACCCTGTGACATCTAGGGGCTGGCACAGCTATTTTGCATTGTAAAGGAATCAATGCAATTTTGATTAGTAATTTTCACCAGCGAATGTAGTTCCAGTTTCAACGAATGATTTCCTGATCACTTGAGTTGAACACACTGGCTAGTAGGCCTAATTGGCATTTGATCAATATGCTTAAACATGACGTTAGACGAGTCCATTAGACAATCTGATAAGCCTGTTTCTATGGTTACCATTGATGCTGAACACAACAACAAATGTTGAAGGGTGTCAAAGAACTTACATAATTCGACAATTCTTTTCAATTCAGTGGATTCAGTCAATCAACTCAAAGGGATGAATGATAGCATACTATTTATATAGCATTTATAAATCCTTTATTATCCAGCATACTTTCTATTTCTTATAATGTATTATAGATGTGATACTTTTATTGTTTTCTGATATTTTATGTGTATTTCTCCGAATGAAAATTCTGAATAAATGGAATTGAATTATATATTCTATGTGTCTGGTCATGTATAGAGATTATCAAATCAAGTGGAACGATGGTTAAATTTACCACACAGCAAAACCTACTGTGCACCGGATATTACTGTGATTGTGGTGGATTGCAGGTGTAGGTATTTAAATAATAAAAGGTTTTAATATAAACAGAGGTTGATTTCAGTTTGGTTTATTGTATATAGATAAGATTAGCCTTCCAAGAGGCACTTCAACCATTAGGTCTGAAATCAAAAAGGTACCGTAGTTGGAGGAATGTAATAATAGTTAAGGAAAAAGAGATATCCAAGTTCTGATTTGCATTGTGTTAGATACTGTACACATTTGTTAACCTGGATTTTCTATGAATGAGAAGGTAATTTCTGTAGCAATTACAGCTCAAGTACATTAAAGGTAAATGCTTAAAGATAATGAAAACCCATTATCTTCTCAATATATCTTAAGGCAGAGTTCTATGTATATTACAATACCCTATATTGATACATAAATATAGAGTAGAAATAATGATTCGGCTTATAAATGAGATTAATGATATTTGTATAGTACAAAAGCAGAGGAATATATCTGCAATAAAAGATGTTTTATTGCAGATGGCAAAATGGCGAGCCAGCACGTTTGATTAAACCATTCTAGTTGCATGTTTTTGTGTCATCTTTCATGTGTACCAGACTGGAATGATGCATTGAAATTTGAGTGTTGCTTTGAATATGTGGCCCACTCTGGCAAAAGCAGACGCTTGTCGTCAAAAACGAAAGTCTTCAAATCAGCTAAAATTTCTATATTGACCATCTTAAAGCCTGTTTGCCATTTGTCATCCATTTTAACAATTATTAGCTTTTGACCTCCAGGTTTCAAATATTTAATAAAATTTGTAGCTTTTTAAAAAAAAATAAAAGGTGGTTGGAGAAAAGAGCCTGTTTATGTGGGAGCAACAATGCTATTAAATTATTCAGATTTGTAATTTAACTGTTGACATAGCTAATTTGATTATGTTCATACAAACTTAGTACTGCATGTCTGTATTCCTTCAAAAAGATAAAAGATATATGGTGCCAAACTTTATTGTATTAATACAGGTAAATATTAAACATAAAATAAATATAACCCTATTGAAATAGATAAAAAAAAAACCAAAATAAAATAAACACTATTTAAGGGATGTATTTTTTGCTAAACAAGATTTTAACACTATGGCCAACCCCTATTCCGGGAACATAATAATGGGGCACTTTGTTTCACCCGGGAGGTGTCCCCTTTCTTTTACAGTAATAATAAGCATTCTGCTGTATGTAGTTAAGTTATTGGCAAAATTAGTGAATCGGTTTTTATTGATTGCTTGATTGATATATTGATTGATTGATTGATTGATTTATTTATTTATTTATTTATTTATTTATTTATTTATTTATTTATTTATTTATTTATTTATTTATTTATTTATTTATTTATTTATTTATTTATACTGTAGGCACTTTCAGTACTATTGTACAAATTTTCAAAGTGATACTGTTAAAACATAACAAAAATATATACAATACAATATATAGAATTGATTAACAATAATTAAAAAGAAAAGAGTATGTATAGTTTAGTTCATACGTGTATCTATAAAATTAGTACACCATAGTGCAGAGGAAGCTTTGTCATGATTAGTGATTAAGCTGCAGTGAACGTTTCTTAAGCGCAATAGGATATTGTGGTCTTGAACTTTCAGAATTAGTTGGTATGTCATCACTGAAAGTGGTAGTATAGGGTGGTTTGTGTGCATAGGTTGTAGATTTTTTTAAATTCTGGAAGCAAGGAACTTAATTCTTTCAATGTATATATTGCTACGTATGTTGTTATTTTAATGCATTATTATTATTTCTACTGCATACAGTATACATACTGTGAATTGAAGTTATTAATTTCTTATCTGACTGACTTCATAAAAAATGTATAGAAAAACCTTCTGACACAACTACTTAGGATCAGGAGCAACCATACTGTATTACAGTTAGCAACATTTTTAATTAGTACTATAATTTATATTCATTTTTCTTCATGAAATCATCTATCAAAAAATTTGCAGAAATTGATCAGCTGTCGTATGATTTCTGTTGACAAATGGTGTCGTGCAGTGTTATGACGTGCATTGTGCTATACTCTGTTAAAGATTGCCTACAGTAGGCCTACCTGTTTGTGCAACTTAAAATCAATTCTACATTCGTGTATGAATCAATAGCTGAGCCTTGAATGGTGAAGTCACCTTGTCAGTGTTTTTGAACGCTTGACTAATGTTGTGTTTTATGTAATCCAACTGCATTGAGTTGATCATCAAAAGCTCCAAATAAACAAAGTGTATAATAATATTAAAATAATTCCTATCTTCAGATTAGTTAAAACAGTGGAGTTAAAGAGAATGGTTATATTTTCTAATATCTAATACAAAAATCAAACCATATAATTAGTAATAATTAAGTATTTCAATTCAGTTCAATTCAACTTTTATTTCAGAAGAGTTTCCTTCCATGGACAACAATCACAAGAAAAAAAGGCCCAGCACCAAACAGTAAAATACAAACGATATAGATAAATAACATGGGCCTGAAAGAAGTTAAAAATTAATTAATCACTCAATCAACCAATCAATCAAATTAAAGACGATGCACGATGTTTCAACAATCAATGTCTACTGTGCAGATAAATACAAACAACTGATTCCACTTCAAGTTCAATTTTGAATGACATATCATTAACAAATGCATTTGATAAGGCTGTTGCAACTCATCAATTCTGGTCATATTCATAAACATAAACATAGCATAAAATATTTGTAAAAAACCAAACATTAATTTATGGTGTTTATATGGAGAAATATTAATAATTTTTGATAATATGAAATATAAATTCAGTGGTGTATTCATGTGATGTATCACAACTAATACAGTGCCAGAAAAAAAAAGTTTTTACATTGTAACAGTAATCTTTCATTTTTATTAAGGAGTCGGATAGTCCAAGTGGTACAGTACCTACCCTCCCAATGGCCCCTTCCTTATCCCCTAGATGGCCCCTTCCATATCCCCTAGACTTCCAGTCTATTGCCTAAAATTCATCATCCCCATAACCTTGTCGATTATTACATCAAATTTACATATCTCAAAAATGAATTCTATGATAATAACCATATTTATATTAATTCTGTTTTTAATATTCTAAAAATGTTTCATACTCTTTACTTACAGTGCAATTTTAATTATTAATGCATATTTTTGCACCTTTTAGCTATGCATATGAAAGGAGCTATTTTTAGTATAGAAGAAGATATGCATTTTTGTCTGGTATTGAATAATGCTATACTAAGCCAGCCTTCCTCACACCGGACTTACTAATTAATAGTGTGTATTAGGCTGCCTTTATTCATATTTCCTCACAACACCTGCTTAGTATTTCTCAGCCTACTTCTCAGAATAATCAATAAATATTCTTTGGTATAACTATCCATTGTTTAGTGGCAGTCATTTTTTGTTAATTACATTTTTAAACTGGTAGCTTAGCTTTTATAGATTCATACTTGATATCGGTCATGAGGATTTATTTGTTGTATTTGATAAGAAACAAAATATGTTGTTGTAGTTATTAATATTAATGATTAATTACATTCTTGTTTTTATTTTGTGCAGATTAAACTTTCAAATCGAAGGGAGTTACAAGGTTGATAATCAACGCTTTAGTGTGCTCAAGCTTCTGGACAAGTCGTACCAAGATGACAGTTAAAAAAGGCTCAATGAAACTCAATAGTCTTCAGTCTATTTGGTACTGTGTGTTTGTGATTGTCACACACACATACCTCATCATCAGTGCTTTCTATCACTACCATCGTGTGCGCCACATGGACTGGCCCCAGGGAATGATTCCCTACCCAGAGCTTGGTCTATACATGCTCTGCGTTGTCGCCGCATTACTTATAACAATCTTATTTATACCAACGCAGATATTCCAGGTTGGGAATAATGCTAACGATCGTACAAAACTTGGGATGGAAAAGGGTGACAAAGGACCGCCTAAGTGGGGAGGTAGTATAAAAGCAAAGCTTGTGTTTGTTCGCCGTTATACAAAACATCTAGGACCAGTTGGCGCTACGATGCACATAGTATCAGCCTTCTGTCTTCTTCTACCTGTTATGTTTCTACAAGCACGTGAAATAGAACATGGTCTATTACCCCCAGGTGTGTATGCTATAAAGCTTAATCATCTTGTTTATTGTTTGAAGTTTTGCATGATGAAGTAATAACATATATGTTGCGGTACACCACATAGGTAGTTCTGAAAAGAATTGTTGTAGTTTAGAAAGTCATCTTGTTTATTGTAAACAAAATGTTGGTTTCTGACATGATTTAAGCCCAAAACCCCTTTTCACTCAAATCCAACAAAATATAATTGTTGCAATCATTTTATTTTTAATTTCATTCTTTGAAATTGATTTTATATTTTATGTATTTTAGTAAATATGTTGAATTCTTACTTTTCGCAGAATCTATTTGGCGATCAGAAGTGAGTTTAGTTCCTGTAATTGAGCTAGATAAAACCCCAGTACCACCATTAGAAACAGATCTACTGTCCACATCGGAACCAGACTTAAAACCACACCACAAAGAACCGCCCTACAAAATCTCTATGGTAACCATTAATTACATTAATTATGTAACCGCACTGGTGGTGTATGCAATTCTATATGGCGATGTTTTTTGGTTCTGTCACAAAGGCTTTGCATTACTCCTGTCTGTTCAACTAATGTTCAACGCGATTCAATATTCTCTTGGATTTATTGGCGTATCTCTCCTTTACAAACTGCATACATATGGCTGGGAAAAGTATGGAATCCCCGAACCAGCTGTTGTCAACAGTGCTGCCGGGCTTGTCGGGCTATTTCTCACCAATAATATCACAATATTTTTAAGCGCTGTCGTCACATTTTTGTACGGCTACACGCGAATGAAGGAGTCGGAACTTCGTAAACGACAGAAGAATGTACAGAAAGGAAAACCTTTGATTATGTACAGTGGAAATGCATTAAGATGCCAAGGCTATATACCTCACATTGGGGCCCTCTGTGTTCTCGTTATTTTCATTGTGTGCAAGTCTCCGTTGATAGTTGAATATTTACGAGCATTCCGACACGTGGGTGACCCGCGTCTACTAGCTTGTATGCTGTATGATATCTTCTACATTTTTTTCTGGGCGGTTCTGTGGGTAGTTTTTGCCTTGAAACGCAAATGGGATTTCAATTTTGCATACTTGGACTCTGATCGTGATGATAGTGAAAGCACTACTCAAAGCGTGGGATCTATAGGTTCTGTGACAACCGATAGTCCGGTGTCTCGGGATGATATTGAGCTCACACTTGTTAACAATCGCAATGGAGATGTCCATCAAAGGCATGTTAAAGAGGAACCAGAGAAAAGAAACTCCTCGAAGATTCACTTGTCCAATAATTTTCCTGCTTTCATAGCTCACATGCCAGAGAAATTTTCACCAAAGAGACTCCACAACGGAACGGCATCGATTGAGGAATGCCAACCGTTGCATACAATAACCCCAAACAATGTTGGAAAGATAAACCCTGTGTTACAAGCCAATGAAAATCCTGCGAACAGCAGACCGGCTTCAGTATCGTCTACTACCTCCTCCACGTATTCTGGGCACCAGCACATCACCTGTGAATGCTGAATTGTCAGTTGTCAAAGAATGTTACATTTGAGGAGGTTCATCACTCAAAAGGTTTATTAAGAATGGAATTAGAATGAAATTAGAACTGTATACTTATCTTAATTTATTTGTAATTGGGCAAGTCATTAATGACCACTTGCCTTATGGACAATTGTATATATTCCAAATTGTTTTTACTACACTTTATAGAAAGAAATTGTTTCAATTTTTTAATGAAATAATAGTTGTGAATGAAGATAGAAAGGATAGTTGTGATTGATTGATTGATTGATTGAAGGAAGGTTATGATTAAAACTCGCGATTTATGAGGTTGTGATTGACTTGCTATTAATCAATTACTTGAAGTCAACTATTTTAATCTAACAATTAAATTCATTTCAATTTAATTCATTGTATTTAGTAATGAACGAATGAACAACTAGTTCTATATCATAAAATAAATTAAATTTTATGTTGTGTTGTAAAGTTGTATTTAAAGAATAATAATTTTAAGTAAACCTTAATAGCACAATACAGTACGTTGATTAACCATTTTACAATGCAAGAAACTCTAAGAACTCTGGGAGTATGTGCGTATAGATAACTGAAAAATTAATTAAAAATTAGGTATTTCATCGACTTTGAAATTCCCATCAATATTTTAAATGAATTGTAAGAGTGCTTGCAATTATTTTAAATAATTTAATGCAAAAGTAAATACAGTAGGCAAGATTCAACACAATTGAAGTTTTTAATACAGAAGTCAACTTTTTTTCTCATTATATTTAAATTGTTTATTTGAAAATGAACAATGAAATTGTATGACTCTGTTTAACAGCAGGTAAAGCAATAAATCAAGTTTGATTAAGACATTAAAATACCTCATAGAATATTATTGAATATTAAAACTGTATATGAAGAAGCTCTGACCACACTATGATGTTTTAACATGTGATAAATATGTTATGCTAGCATACATTTTAGGAATTTCAGAATCATAAATTACCTTAAGCTACAGTATGACATTATGAGAATGATCTTCAATGTTGTTATAAATACAAGAAGATACAAGAAATTTTGTTAGTCCTCGTATAAAATCACACACAGAAATTTTGGTAGTACAGCTTTTCAAACTTAAAAGCATTAACATTTAAAAGACAAAAATTTGAATTGCAAAAGACATACACTGCACTATAAAGAGCAAGACTAAGTAAATAAACTGGTTTCTGTGAAACCTTACAAGGTTTCACAGAACTTTAGTGCCCAATATAAGTTTGTCAGTTGAGATGTGTTCTCTAAAAAAAGTTTCTCATGTTTACAGCCCACTTCTCTGTTGGCCCAGGAAGCAGTTTGACCTTGGGTGTAATGAAGGTCGGTTTATTACTTATTCCAATTGTTAACTTGTATTTTCCCTGAATATGTAATAAATGAAGTAATACGTGGAAGGTTTAGGGTGTAAATGCCAATATTTAAGTTCAAGTGCCTTGCATACAGTGAAGGACGCAAAACAAAAATAGAGCATTAATTTCTCCAGGGGTTCTGTGATGTCCTAAGTTTAAGTGAAGTCGTAAGGATTATGCTTAAGTTGAGTTACTCTGCTTACGGTACATTATACATAGTAGCAGCAATTGTTTATTCTTATAGGATACTTGGCAGAATTTTCCATTTGTACAATAAAGAATAACAAATGGTTCCATATACCTGTCTATCCGTCCACTCTAGAGCCCTAGTATGTACATAAGTTTTGATAATGTCTATAGCATATACAGTATAATATACATATCACGTAATATTTTCCGAGTGTCACGACCTGCTGTAATCTAGTGTTGCAGTGGAGTTGGCTGATGTTTTGTTTATGCCTCATAAATGGCCATATATTTTCAATAGTAAATCACATGGTAGTAACTTATGGAAGTACACTTCCACTGGTAATAATTGTATCACATATATATTTTCTATAGTATACAAGTCATCTTTGGCCTAATTTACAAAAAGGTTTGATTGATCACTTACTGAAGTGCAGGTTTAACTGTTGTTAAGACAGGTAGATGGTGTCAAGTTTTAGAAAAAGCTATTTCAGGGCGATTGATTTTTTGGGCTTTCTTAAAACCTGTTTTCTATAAAGTTGCTACACTGTTGCTACTTCGTTTTCGCTGCAATCATTAACTATGCTTAGCTCTTCCAGATGCATTCCTGAAGGCTTCCTGATGTAATTGACTAATCAGTGTCAGTGAAAGAAAGCTGTTGGCGATAGTGTAGTGATTTTATGGGAACCAGGAATAACACATCTTATTGTATTTTGCACTAGGCATACACATATTATTGCATTTTGCTGTGCATGACTATAACCATTGCCAGGTTAACCTCAGGGAGATCATCAATAACACATACAGCTGAACTTGCCTAAGTCCATTTTGCCTAACTTGAATAATTTCTAAGTTGATTTTATTTTACTTGCCAAATTGTTGTTTTTTCCATTAATTAACAATCTGCAAGTCAAATTTATCTAAGTCGAACAATTTTTCTATGCAATTTTGGATTCGACTTAGGCAAGTTCAAATGTAGTTACCAACCATGTTTTTGGATGAAATAAGCATTTTGCAGAAACACAAGCGTGATCATAAATTTTGTCACGCAATTAGCACAAGCCTGTGTGTGATGACGAATTATCAAGAATTGATGGGAAAATGTATTCAAAATTATAAGAAATTGGTTTTATTAAAATTTTAAAATGGTCATGCAGTAACTTGAGTCATTAGAGAGTACCGTATGCAGTCTTTATGTGAATACTTAATTCACTGTGACGCGTTACTAAATTTTAATAATTGATCAGTATTACTATTCATTTTTTGTTTGTAATGAAAATGAAAATGTTTGTGTACATAGTTTGGGTCCTCAAATTAAACATACTGTACATTGAAATTCAAATTGTAGGCCTACATGGCTTTAATAAAATATTTTTGTTTATGTACCTGGTATTGTCAACAAACACTCCATGAAATTGTTTTAAAACAGCTTAAAAATGCTCAGATCGTCGGAAAGCCTCTCTCAGGTTGGTAACTTTGATAACACAGCAGTAAAAACGTACAAGCCTTCTCGTTTGTTAGTTTTTGGGAGATATTTGTTTGCTCAACTAAGTGGAGACTTGATATATGTAAGTTTTAAATAGAGTAGTTAACTTATGAAAGAGTATAGTATGAACATTACCTCAAAACTACAGAAAAGAAACACCTACAGTGAATGAACCTTTTCTTTATGTATTTATTTAAATAGCTTGGTACTACATCTTGTTTATTGTAACTCTATGACTAAATTTGCCTTTTAATCTGTTTTCTTATCTGCTATTTGTGTGCCTAATACAATACTGTATATTTTCATTGTTATGTAATTGCATATCAAATCATATATATATATCATATAATTTATTTGGCCTTTAATGTACATTACAGATACAAAAAAAAAAAACAAAAAAAAAAACAGGAGAGAAGTAAATCAATGAGGCAGCTTAGTTAAGGGTCATTCTTCTGTAAATTCAAATAGAATAATAATAATAATAATAATAATAATAGAATAATCAACTATATTTTCCGTTAATGAGGGGGATTTTATATATTTATTAAAAGTAATATTATTTATATGGGGTATGTGATTTCCTATGAACTTTAATGATTAAAAGAAGCTGGGAACACACTGTGGTTATGGCCGTCTGCTATTGCGATGATCAGTAGCGGTTTCAGGAATTCAAAATAAAGGGGGCCTGGGGAGATACTGCCACTGCATGATGGACGCAATGCGACAAGTCTGTGCGAAGGATCATTGTTAATGACAACCCGCTCAGTCGGCTACGGACAATCAGCAGATGGCCTACACAGTGTGTTCCCAGCTTCCATGAATACTGTAGAAAGCTCCAAGATATATTATAAAGGATAAGGAGTTGATGTGTGATTGGAATGGTATGTCAGTAATAAAAAAATAGTAGTTTGTTATGATGGACTGTATTATGAAAGTTAAATTGATAGTGTATTAAACTGTTGGTTATTCTGTGCCTTAAGACATATCCAAAGTTAATATCTTTGCTTTTTTTTTTACCCAAAATATGAAAGGCTTTTAGGTTATTAAAGCTTTGAATGTAAGTGGTTATTCAATCTTTGAACTTAAATAGTTATTCATTCTTTAAACTTAAGTGGTTATTCAATCGTTTACCTTAAGTGTGATTATGAAAGCTTTTATTCAATCTGTTGTTATTCAATCTTTCAAATATAAAATAATGTTTCAAATATTTTATTTTCATGTAATATTATAATGTAAAGTATTTAAAGACTAATGCATAAATTATTCTGTGCACATGACCTTTCACAATGTGTGTATCAGAAGGTATTAGTAGCCACATAACAGATGTGAGAACAAGTGAACATAATTCCCCAATGTTTAGTTTTGAAGACAATAAGGTCTCTGCTTTAAGCGTACATCATAATAGTGGTTTACACCCACAAATCTGTAGCATTGCTGTACAGTATGTATTATGTATGAAGGTTTAAAATCAGATCCTCACTGCTATAAATTAAAGCCGGTTGTTAGGATTCTCCATGTTATTACCTGTGCAGTGTTTTTCCTGTCATTATTGCTGTTTTCAATGTTTTCCATTGTATTTCTGTATTCATATCAAGTTGTCTCACATTTTATCATGTAATTTATAAATGTGATAATTGGCATTTCTATATTTCATATCAAGATGACATTATTCCAATAATAATTGTGTCAGGCCCACCAATAATCAAAATAGGCCACATTTATTTTTATCATTTAAATGTTAATATAAATGATATCACCATTAATTTTATATCAAAATACATTAAAAACAATATAAAAAAATATTTTTTTGTGAAATATATTTTAAAAGTTTGAGCATATTATTATTTAATCTATTTTACTTGATTTAAAATGAAATTCCAAAGTGAAATTTAGAATTCTGAAAAGAAATAATATACTGTACAATACATACATACCAGGTATTTTGTTGATTATACTGTACAAGTAGGGGGTCATCCACTTTTTTCATTTTCACAAGAGTACAAAACATGTTGGTGTGGAGAGGGTCAGTAGGGTTTTTATTTGTATAAATTCATCTTTAATGAGGGTGCAACCCTATCAGTGAGACAACCAATTTCCACTGGGGCCCTTAAACATCAAATGGGGCCCCCAAAAATGTAACCTTTAATGAAATTGAGAGGAGTGATGATTTCAAAATGACATCAATATGTTGTTATGCATCTGAATACAGTACTATGTTTTGTTCTGTCTTGAAAATGATAAAAAATGGATTACCCCTACTTGTATGAAAATTTACATTAAATATTATTTGCTATTGAGTTGGTTGTGTGTGTGCAAAATGGATGCTCAGTAATAAAAGTTTTATTGCTTAATTCCCAAATCATTGTTTCTTGTGATTTTGTTTTAATTTAAAAATTAGTTGTTGTAATTGTCTTTAAAATAAAGAAAAATTCTAGGCATATTTATCTCCAAATATATTTGATTGAAATTTTTATTTACACACTGAGTATATTACAAAACAGTTAATTCAAAGACGAAAATCAGTAAAACACATTGCATATTGCTTTGCTGGCTCACAGTTCAAAGAATTGTGCTCAGAAACATTTCAACCAAATCACAACATTCACACAGAATTTTCCAGATGGGTAAACTAGCCTGGTCAATCTCCCTGAGCACAATGTTCAGTTAAACGTGGTTAAACCATGGAGCTATAAAATTACCTCCATGGTTAAACTAACTGAGCTGCACAGGTAAATTAATTGAGAGGAAATTGTCAATGGTGTCTCGGTTAGTTTTACCGAAAAATGACCAGTGCAGACATGACTTTAGATGATGAATCATGTTGAGCTGGCCTAGTACCACCCGGTGTATGACACAGTACTGCACCGTCTAATATAACCATGATTTAATGCTACAATCGGTCTATTTACACTCTCTTAGGGCCCGTTTCTACTGAGGAATCAGTAAAACAAATTTTAAGATTCTGTTCACAACACAATGAATTATTCACCTTTGATGTACTGCGAGAACAAAAGTTTAAGCATTTGTTTTATTTGAATACTGACAATGTATTCACATGATAGGATGAATCGTCATTGTTTGTAACTTGGTAGTCGCACAAAAATAGTTTTCGTTTTAAAAGCTTTTATTATAAAGGTCATTTTAAATTGCATTCTTGGTGATTGTTACATCATGCATATGTAGAGTATCAGCCTGGTAACCGTTTCATGTCGAGTCAAAATGAGTTTGCAATACGGTTCTTATCTTGCTAATCCGATAATCAACCAATGATAAGAGAACCGTTTCTTTCTCGCTATTCAGTAGAAACACGCCCTTAGATCACTCGACATTGAGTTGGTGTTTAATTCTTTGAATCCAGGATGCAGGCCTACTGACGCTAATCACCTCGGGCAGAACCTAAAGATTGCACGAAGGATACTAGACAGTTGGACTAGCCACTGGAACAATCCAGGATTATGACCACTAGCCTAGACCATTGTACCTCTTTCACACTCAGCATAATGATCTTTTGTTATGTGATTACAAAGTCCAAAACCACTTAATGGTGCAACAATATATCTCTTGACATTATGTAGGTGCAACTCTATTTTGTTATAAGCTATACTAGTACTGTAGGCCTTGCTGGTAGGAGGATTTGAGATTATTAAACCTAACTATTATCTCCCTGCTATGATTAAAGTGATAATTCCACACTTGATGAGTCACAGCCAACTACAGGTGGCGAGTTAAGAATGTTTACATTTTAAATTAGTATCAAGGGATGAATATTGACTTATGAAATTTGTAATGTGAGCATGTGTGACTCAACTTTTGAAAATGCACACTTTGAGTAAATACATGTTTCATCAAGGCCAAGGACATTTAACTTAAGCCCAGCCCATACTATCAAATTTTCGTTTACAAAAAACTGTTGTATGCTCATATATAGTCATGATGTGATGTCATCATGACCGTATTTAGGCATGTTATAATGTTTTTGTCAAATGAAATTTGAGTCTGGACAGGGCGTAACTCTCCCTTGCACATTGGAACTCCATTCTATCATTAATCCATTCCTCCCACCAACAGGTCATCTAACTGGCCATTGGATTGGAGAAGGTCTACAAGCATCTTATTTCCAGAGGACGACTCCTCTTCGATGTTAAAACGCAAATTTCCCTCAATTTGCCGAAGACTTCTATGTTGCTCTCGCCTGCAATTACAAACAGATGTGAGTACAGTAAATTAAAATTCAGTAAATTTTCATGTTCATCAATGCAGATCTTTTTTTGAATGTCAGTCTGTTTCCTGTAATTAAAATGTTGTTTACAATTTTTTTTGTCTCTGTTAAAATGTCATCAGAGACACTCCAGTTGATGAATGCAGTCTGTTCGACCAATCAGCTGTGTCGCTGGCTCCTGCGTGTTGCTCTCCAATCATACATTAATTTAAACCATTAAGCATTCTCTATTTATGTATTGGGACGTGAAACAGGTCACTAACCTGGCAACGTTTCTGGCAAGATTTCTCAGTTTTGTCATTGACATAATATCTGCCTGTTTTGATGTTTCTATATCAGCTTTGCTCACTGCAAAAAATAAGTTTGAAAGTCAAGATTATTATCAAATATTAACAGCCCTTTCCTCTGGTTTAGCAAAAAAATAACACTCAAAAACACTCAAAATAACACTCAAAAACACAAGCTTGAATGGATATCAACCTGCCCTACATTTATTGATACCGGTCGACATCTATTATTAGTATCAACTGGGGCGAATTTAAAGGGGGGGAGGGGGCAGGCCGGTCGCCGCCCCCACCCCCCTTTTGGAAAGTTAAAAAAAAAGAAAAAGAAAGGAAAAGAAATAATTGTTCGCCGAAAACGCCTCAGAGGTTATTTTCGGGCGTTTTTTCAGGGGGAATTCCCCCAACCCCTAGGGAATGCCACCAACCCCTAGGGTAGTGTTATCTCGATCAGCCCTACTTTTAGCACCCCCCTTTTAGACATTTCTGCATCTGCCCCTGATCACCACTAAATAATCAATTATTAATCAAGAAAATAATGTATAAATTAAACACTAATATGACTTAAATTTGTTTAAACTACTTAAAGTGAACACAACCTTTGCACTAAAAAAATTTGTATAATTACAAATAGTTATTATGTTTAGATTTTTATGATCATAGATAACAGCAAACTTAGTTTTACAATCAATTTTTGCATGTGTTATCAGGAAAAACAATTATTAATTCCATAAGTACCTGTATTTTTCATAAGTTTTAAATCATTTGCTGGTAGTGTTTCAAGCATTTTTATGCCATTTGCTGGAGCGCAAATTTCTTCAGTGAAGCTTAACTTAGGATGCTCTGTAACTAAGTTTTTTTAAGTGGCTTGGTTTGTTTCTAGTTTATATTTTGCACTTGTTTGGAGCAAACCCATAATATTAACTACTACGGCTTGCAGGGGCACATCTAGTGGGGGGGGGGGGAACGTGCTCCCCGATTTGCCATTAAATTTTATAATTTCGATAAGTATAGAAATAAGTGCTATTCACATTTATTCTGAAATATATTATGGATCTGCTCCTGGCTTGTGAAATACTTAAACTTACATGTTGCTTGTATTTGGTGGTGGAGTCTCGCATCCTCCACATTCTCTGCAATTTTCTGCCTTAGCAACGGTGCTACTTGTAAAAGAAGTATATAGCTTCCGATCTCTGAGAAATAATACTTCAAGGGAAAACAAAGCAATTTGCAAGCTAAACAGACGCTATCACCAACTCAAAACAAACGCATTAATTTAAGTTGTAAAATACATGTTCCAAAGGTTGCAAGCACTAACTAAAGATTGTAAGCATCAACCCCTTTCACTATAGTAAAACAATAATTACTTTGATTAATTAGACAACACAGGCATACATAGCAACAGAATAGCCAGTAACCAAGAGGTGTTTCCAATAGTCATTTCCAATAGTGTATAAAGCTTTTTCCATGCAGAGAGCCAATATGTATACATGAACAACATCTAAAAGATGTAGTAATTATAGTACATGCACACACACACACACACACATAAACAAACACACATGCATGTGCATGTGTGGTACATGCTAAGGTTAATATTGGGATATTTCAAAGCAGAAATCATGGTAGAAGCGTCCTCATTGCGGCTCTTGGTAACACCAATTCTAGCACTACCACAAGGTATACAAAGAATACTTGTATCTCCATTGTCAGAGCCTAGACTAGGCTAGACCAGAGCAGGGCCTTTCTAAGGCCTGCCCTTACCGTCATGTTTGCAAACGCTGAAAGTTTCTGTGGACACAATAAGAAAAAAGTCAGGGATTCGAACATGCACCTCACAGCTTAATTCTTTAAAACTCGACACAACACTATGACATTGTATGAAAGGATACGTGACAATCGCATCACAGACACTTTGTCATTTTCACTGTAATGAAGTGCTGACTCCTTAAAAAGTTGGGTTCGTAATTTTTCACTTGATAGTGGTGACAACGCCTCCATTGCTTCAAAGAACTCGCGCTGGTCTAGCACGCCACTCTCCTTCGCTGGACGTTGAAGTAATTTCCTTTCAATCTGGATAGTAGAACAATTTTTTAAAATTAATTTTTGTTTGTGTTTCTATGTAATTTGTTAATTTACTGTCTATTTTCATTTCAAAATAATAATTATTCTCTGTTACTTAAACTGGGTAATTGACTGCTTTTGTTTGACGATTCCTTTGAGGTAGTGCATAGGATGTTCATACCATTAGAGCTCTGATTATTATATGATGGATTTATTTTAATTATAGTTACTGATATTCAGTATTATACTCATTATCACGTATTATAGAAGATATATGGCAATTTTACAAGTATTCAAAACATTTACAGTACAGAAATACATAAAAGATTAAATATAAGATATAAAGTAAAATATAAATACAATACAGTATCTATGCATGATAAACAGTATACAGTGCATACAATTATGCCAAACAATATAGATAAAAAATATGGGACATGGTTGACAGGGTTCAGCCTTCTATTGAGTCCCTTTTTAAAGATTCTGCCACTAACAAGGAGGGGATTTTTGTGTGGGATGCTTGTATACCATTACATTACTCATTTTTCAAATGTCAAGTTTTAGACAAATAACTGCAGTAACAATTCCATAAATCCCTTCTCAATACGTAAATGTCTGTATTCGTTAAAATCGACTAATAATAGCATCCTTCCAAATCTTATTGGAAGGTCAAAGTTTAGAGAGTATTAAGTTGTGTAACTGGTGACATAGAGAGTTTAATTCAAGATTTATCCAGTCTTGAACAGGATATATAACAGATTACATTTAATGCCGTCCACTGGCAGTTGAATGACCCCAGCCTGCATTGGTTTAACCCATATAGAATATCCAAGTACAAGCTAAAAACTATATTGATTTGAATTGTTATTAATCAGGGGCAGATCCAGAATTTTTCAAAAATGGGGGGTAGGGGGCACAACATTTCCAGGATAGATAAGTGAGTAGTGCTTATTTCAATAAAATTTTAAAATTTAGTGGCAAAAATGGGGAGGGTCCCCTACTGGATCTACACCTGTTAATTTATTGAAATGCTGTGAACTTTTCTGCTTAGCCTTGCAAAAGTATTACCATCATGAAAACTTCCACTACAAGAAGAAACAAACTAAAAATAAATCCCAAAGATTACTAACCTCATGAAATTGTGGTTCCCGGTACTTCAGAATAATGTAAAGAAAGAACTCGTAGACCAAATCCTTTGTGATTTTATTCTCACTGAATGATGTGTAAGCCAAATGCATCTGATCAATGTCATCTTCCTAAAAACAATAGTAAACAAAGCCAACTTAAGTATTACCTTATAATTTATCTAACTTTTAGTATAAGCCAAGTAGTCAAAGATTAAAATCGAGGACAATTTTGGTAACAGCAACTGACAAAATTTTAAAGAGATTATGCACCATTATCAATAATTCACTCGACTAGAAGAATCTTATTAACTGTGCCGTGTCGAAGGACGACAAGCATTCAGGATGATGATAAAGAAGAATGATTTGACTTAGATTATAAGAAGGATGTTGAGTTTAAGAGGATAACGAACAGTAAGCTACCTACAAGTAAACTAGCAACTGCAACACTAACTTCCAACAACGTTAAGCTACACAAAATCAATCTAACAACTGCTACAGTAACTTACATTTTGTAGATGATGGGAAACATGCCAAAACTTGGTATCAGTTAAATTTTAAAATAAATTCATATTTATCAATGCGCTTGAGAGGGCAACATAGCAACTAACGAATAATGTAAACATTTTTATGAATATCTGAATCAGTTGTGGTGCCAGCGGGGCAGGGAGGGCATTTCCCGCTATGGACAAGCCTGGACCCCCTGTTGTCCGACGCCACGATGAGACTGTCAGATACAAAAATAAAAAAATAATAATTTAGCTATCCAAATAACGTTATTTTGATTGCCAACTGGACTATAGCCACAAACCTCCCTGTGAACCTACTGGGTATTTTTTCTTCTGGGACTTGGACTGAAGCTCTAGTCGGCCTCTTGGCTGCGACCCTCAGTGAATATGTTGGACCCCTTGTCGGCAAATTTTTGGAGCCATACCACTGATCTAAATATGTGAAAATTGCCAATGAGATTTTTGCACAGGATTTATCAGAATTTATATAACGTAATTTAATAAATACCTTGTTTCCATCGGTTCCAAATCAAGAGCCTCTATATTACTAAATATAAATGCTCTACCACCTGAGCTACTTGTATTTTCCCATTAGGATACACTTTTCATTGTCATTTGAATTTTGATTAATTGTTCAATAATAGTAATAATGTGCATTATGTAAATATTATTGAGAACAATCTATTGTTTGAAACAGGGTTGAATTGAGACTTGGTGGCTATACTTTTACAGATTCCAAAAAAATCTTCAAATTTTTCAAGAAAACCAAATTTCTGACATCGGTTTTATTACTTCTTGATCAAAGCAGATAAAAAAAGTTTTCAAAAGAAGACTGTGAAAGTCCATACCAAAGTTAAATCTGTCTAACACGTTGATATTAAAACACAATAGCATGAGATTTTATCAACCTCTGCAGTTAATACATCACAATGACCTCAAATATAAAAAAAATACCAAAATACTAATCTTGCAGGTTGTGGGAATTTGGGGCCCATTGTCAGCAACGATAGCAAAGGTCATACATATGGAAGTTTTACAAGAGGATTAATTACTTATGCCATATTCAAGTAACTTTATTTCACAATTCCATTTTACAAACACTGTACAAACTACACTTTTTATTTTTTTTTGTGAAAATGGGTGTTTACATAAGCAAAGTGCTTTAATTGTAATGGTCTTACAGAAAAAAATTAAAGGAAAGAGTAATCTGAAATACATAAATAAAAAAAAAAATCAATATGCAATCTTGGACTGTTCCATTAATTCCCACCCCTTGGAAGTTAAGGTTCTGAGAAAAATGACAGCCATGATTAATATAGAAAAATGGCTTGCACTGTATTTTTTGGAACATGCACATATTCTTGGCCACGCCTACTAAATAACATGTCCTGATTGGTCAGTTTAAGTTTGATTGACAGAGGAGTTTGTTCCCACTAAAGTCTTCATTAAGCTTTCTAGCCTTGATCTATTTACTATAATCATACTGGCTTACATTGAGGAAGGGGTATATGTTGGCAATGAACCCCTTGAAATCCTCCACATAACGCCAATCGACTCTGTCAATCAAATCCGCAACCAGCAGCAAATAACGAAAGACTGCTCCATCCAGATTGCCAACCAGGATGTGTGAAAATATTTGAATATGCTGAAAAATAAATTTTCAATTTTTAATGAATAAAAGAAAAAAAACCCTCCCCATCTCACTGATTCTAAGCACGATGAGTAGGATAGCACATGTGGAAGTAGATTTCTTTCATGGCTAAAAGAAAGTTGGCCTTGTAAACCATTACAGCACGAAAATATACCTATGATGAGGACTTATTTAATGAAATAATTTATTCTAATTAACCTTGCCCTTCAAATGGGTTTTAAATGTCCGGATTGAATGATGAACGTCCGCATTGGACGATGAATGTCAGGATGAGACCATGAATGCTTATAACTTTTTGTATTATTTAAAAGGATTTCTGCTTTCTATTATATGCAAACGAACATAATTTGTGTTTTGGCAATTCTTAGCCTATGCAGGGAGATTTTATAGCTCCATAGCCAATGAGCCTTAAGCTCTGGCCAAACTATCAAAGACAATTTGGATGTAATATGACCTCATCATGTCCATATATGGGCACATCATACAAATTTGTCACATAAAATTTGATCGTGTGAACAGAGCTTAATATAAATAAAATAAAATCAAACAATGTCAATCATCAAAACATTAAATGAATAAGAACAAGAAGTATATGAAGGAAATCAGAATTGTATAAGGGGCGGGGATCTGTCTCTTAGTTGGGTGTCAGTTATCATTGCTATCATTTTTTGGTGTTACCTTGTTGACTAGAGCATTTTCAATCAACGATGTGATGAAGTCATGCATTACTAGGTATGTGACATCTTGGGTGAGATAACGATCAAACATAAAATCATACAGACCATCCTAGAAAACAAACATGATTACTGAGAGCATTTTCATGTAAATAAAATCATAAACACCTACAACATTTTACATGATTGAAGAATATATATTAATACTTGCAGTACAACACGTAGATAACTGAAAAGAACTGTTGTTGGTTTAGGATGAGTTGACGTTTTGATTGATGCTATTCTCATGAAGAAGAATGAAGCAACTCCATCGAAACATTGAGACGTTCTTAACCAACAACAGTTCTTTTCAGAACTATCTACGTCATGTACCGCAAGCATCAATATATATTATTACTTTTTTCCATGCAAACCTTCAGTGATTGAAGAAGTCATATGGTAGACACAATATGAAAAATTTCAAGAGAAATGCACAGTGAGAAGTTTGAACCCCTGACCTCAAGGTTTATAGCATGATTCGCAACCTCTACAGCAATCGCTCTCACAATAAATTACGTTTGGATGATACTTTAATCTTTAGATTAAAAAGCAATGTCTCCCCCTACGATTTTTTCTCATATCCAAACTGTTGTGAATTCAAATTAATCACTATCATCAATGTCATAGTTTAATTATTATTTTAATTGAACATAATCTACAATTGTCGTAATGGACTTTATCACATTTGGTTACCATGGGAACTTACAATAATTGAAACCAGCTCTGTATCCTCATCTGCATTCTCATCACACCATAAAACATCTGCATAATACTGTGCAATAATGGACAAGGTGTGATCCTGAAAAAAAAAAATTACAAATTGGAGATTGATGTCCATACCTAGACAAGGACATGTCTACTGTGGGACCTTTATTGATCAAATACTGGCATTTTTAAAGCAGGTCGAGCACCCGATGATCGTTAGCCAGAACGATACAATAGGAAACACAAAGTCAAGACACGCTTGCAACAGATTGTTTTTAAGATGAACTCTCACCGGCAATCAGTAGACAGTGTAGCGTCGTCAAGCGCTCTCAAAAAGTGGATAGATTTGTCAGGTCATACAACGCAGTATGCTTCTGGCCCTAGTATACAACTGGACCATTTTGTGGGACACATTAACCTGATAATGAACATCAGCAGTATAAAAAAGAAATAAATACATGATTAGTAAAGTAAATTTCTGTGAAACGTATCTCTACTCACCAGCTTCATAGGCCGTGGGATTTCACGAGTCAGTGTTGTCCTATCTTTGTAGTCCTCCCAAATTCTCATAAATGAATTGACCTAAATTATTTATAAAACAGCAGCAAAATAATTAGTAAATGAAGGATTATGAATGATATTAATAAATTTCTAACAACACAAATATTATATTTATGATGTAATAACATAATTGGTAAATATACTTATTTAAATAGTACATTATGAACATATACAGATAATGCTTCACACAAGTACTCTATAGTGCATGAACAAAAAGTGGAAAAAAAACCAACAGAAAGTGGAAAAAAGTAAAAAGAAAGGGAAGAAGATATATATACTGGTAACACAATTAAAAATATAATAATAACAAACAGACCATAGAGCTAGTAAGCAGAGGACATAAAAAACTTAGTTTCTCCATACTGAAAAAGTTTAAAAAATAAAGGACACACTTTATTTGTGGCTGTCATCAATCTAACAATTGTTTCCTTGGGATAATTTTGATATAATATTTTTAGCAGAATTTGCCATGTTTTGTAGCAGTGGGAAAAAGAAACTGTCTGAATAGAACGGGAATTAATTGGCAGGGTAAGCTAGAACTTCCCATGAAACACCCCAATGTTCATGTTGACCTGCTTCAACTTTCACTTGGTTCCACCCTAGGAAATTTCATTCCACTCAGTTCCCACTCTTTTAGTAAATATATTTAAACTAAGAAAGCATGCTCTGATCGTATCTGTAATACAACTTGCAAAGTTGAACATAATCACTGTTATTCAACTGCAATTATATTTGATGTCCTGAAACAGATCATTTAGTGGCCATTGACAGAAAAAGTACTTCTAAACTATAAACCTTAAAAGCAGAGGAAGGGGAGCACCCACTGTCGACATGACGTAGCCTCGACGGCAGTTTGCTGGTGGCGGAGGATAATTTGTGTAAGAAGGAGGGTTATGGAAGTGGGAGAGGATACAATGGTGGGAGGGAGTATTACAGTGGTGCAACTAAGATTATTTTGTCAGGGTATACAAGTAGGAATTGAAATCCTATGGTCTTGGGGTGGGGGTGGGTGGGGGGGGGGTGGGGGCTTGTATGTCCAAGGGGGAGGGATACATAAAGCCTAATGTGTGTCAGGCTGATGTAGATATGTTAGTAAGAGTGAATAAATTTCAAACTGGAGAGATTGACAAGTGTAATAGAAAAAACTGCCCATTGTGTGGAATCAAATAATTTGTATATAAAATTGGAAACTTCAATGTCATATCTTAAATTTATTTTTCCTAATAAATTCCTATAAAAATGAAGGAACGTAACCTTATTCATCAATTATTATCAAATTAAAAGTTTTAATTGGTGATAGTTCATTGTTAATTATTAATCAAATTAGTTCTAACTACAAAAACACATCACTCATGTTAGTTCAAAATTAAAGAAAATAAATAACATGAACATATGTTGAAAGACAAGTTAGAGGAATGTTGTAATACATGACTATGATACTATACATGATAATGCAGTCATACATGATAATGATACTCATACATAATAATGATATTCATAATAATGATGTCATACATGATAATGATGTCATACATATATGACACAATCAATGTAACACTGATACAAGAATGCAAATCTAACAGATAAAGCAGAAAAAATTGATAAATTGGAAAGATTGTCAAATATAAATTGTCATTTTATAATGTCACAACCTTATTTTTATCAAAGTTCTTTAACTTATATAAAACAAAGAATTGATTATGGCCTCCGGATACGCCACGGCAATGTTACAATTACAATCAGCCAATGAAATGTTTTCAAATTATTTTATAGCAAGTGGGCGGATACGCCACGGCAATGTTACAATTACAATCAGCCAATGAAATGTTTTCAAATTATTTTATAGCAAGTGGGCGGATACGCCACGGCAATGTTACAATTACAATCAGCCAATGAAATGTTTTCAAATTATTTTATAGCAAGTGGGCGGATACGCCACGGCAATGTTACAATTACAATCAGCCAATGAAATGTTTTCAAATTATTTTATAGCAAGTGGGCGGATACGCCACGGCAATGTTACAATTACAATCAGCCAATGAAATGTTTTCAAATTATTTTATAGCAAGTTGGCGGATACACCACGGCAATGTTACAATTACAATCAGCCAATGAAATGTTTTCAAATTATTTTATAGCAAGTGGGCGGATACGCCACGGCAATGTTACAATTACAATCAGCCAATGAAATGTTTTCAAATTATTTTATAGCAAGTGGGCGGATACGCCACGGCAATGTTACAATTACAATCAGCCAATGAAATGTTTTCAAATTATTGTATAGCAAGTGGGCGGATACGCCACGGCAATGTTACAATTACAATCAGCCAATGAAATGTTTTCCAGAAGCTTCAGTCAAAAAACTTATATGGTCGAGTCTTTCTGTAGCCTCTGATTGTGGACAGTATGTCTGCATAGTTTTAGTAGTTACGAAACATAAAATCTTTACACTACAAATGAATGACAGATTCTTATACAAATGTCTTTGATTCAATGCATTGTATTGGTTTTCAAGAACATGCAAGCTATTAACAATAAGTACTACAGAATGATGCAGACAAACAGAACAATGAGATAAAGTTTATGAAAGGAAATGTAGTGGAATATATACTAAACTACACATTGTATACTTACTGACAGCCAGTTACCCTGGAGGTATCAAACAAACAATAAAGAAATAACATTAAGGAGGAAATGGGATTTAATGCTAACGATGGGATTATTTACAATTGGATTATCTTACAATAGGATCTACATTCTGGTTTAAAATGGGTCGGTTTAAGAAAACAATGTGGGCTGCACATTCATGCTGAGCTGTCCGATTATCAGAAAAAAAAAAGCCCAAACTGGTATCAGTAATTTCAAGGATTAAAACAGGTATGACAGGGATGATTTTGTTGCCTAAATTATTTTCTGATAAAATAATCAAATGAATCAACATCGATTAATGTATTTTGACCACGTATATACGGTATTGTGGTTTCTTTATACAGTAATACAATATTTTTTCTAAGAGTGTGTTCAACTGTAGGTGCATCATTCAGCATAATATATATTATACTTTATATTTTAAATTGTCCAGATCATTATCACCTGAAAAAAACCCCACAGACTAACCTGGTATTCCTGTATTCCACCCAAAATGGCAGGCTTGCTGTCCGGGGGATTTTGAATGGGAATGGTACCTGTTGCCGTGGTTTCTACTGTGCCAGGTGTGACAGAATCCTCATGGAAGAATTGGTTTGAGCTTCCAATACTGGCCACGGATTGACGACTCTGGATACGCTTGACAGGTTTGCTTGTAGATTCGTTGGTCGTCCCTGCAACGGATTCAAATTTTGTAGATTCCTTTGACCTGGAGATGAACAAAATGATAATTACATCATTTTTATCAAAGTGAGTTGAATTAAGTTTTTGTCAGCGTTTGAATTATGCATCTCTTCATTTATTACTTAGGCTAATTTGAGATTTTTATTAGCACCAGAAAAGTTTTTATGACCACTGTAGATTTTTAAAAATTACTACATTGTAATTAAAGTATCACATTATTGATATTGATGATACTAATAATAATAATAATAATAATCAGTATAATAACAAAATTTTTTCATTAACTAACTTTAATTATTTAGTATTATCGTAATAGGAATAACAATAATAATAATAACAATAATAAAAATTGGCTAAATTGAATATAATAATTCTAAAATTAATTAAATAGAAATCATTTCTGCAAATATTTCACAAAAATTCACAAAATTATGATTTACATAGAAAAAAAAATATAAATGTAATATAAATGGATTACCTAAATGATTCGGACCTTATAACCTGGCAAAAAGATAACAATTTGGCAAGAACTCAGTTGAGAAAAATGTTGGATCAAAACCATAACTTTTCGTTTCACACTGCTACATAACTGCTGATTAATTAGCCATGCAAAACGTACACACGGATATGGGATTAATCCAACTATGTTTAGTGTGTATTTCTCGAGGACGATTATATATATCGCATGATAAAGCATTCACTAAAGAACTGAAAATTCTGATTCACCACAGTTCAAAATTCTGAAAGGTCACTAAACTCTAGAGCATACCTCTTATGCTATCAGTTCATTTACCTTAGAAAACAAAAAGTCGTCACAGCCTTTAGCTGGTGGGCAAAATACAGTTGAAAGGGAGGGTTGCTGCTGGCTTCTAAACACTCAACATTCAACAGAGCTCAAACGCTAGCAAAAAACACACCAAAATGACCTCAATTTTACTCCTAATGTTTGCCTGTGTTGTGGGCAGTATTATAATTGGCTTCACTGGAAGCTTTATTGTTTTTATCCTTGTAGCGGTTGTCATATCACAAGTTTTACTCGGCTTATTCCCTGGGAAGTTGCTTCCGTCATCTGGAAAAGCTGTGTTAATCACCGGGTGCGACACAGGTATTGGACACTTCCTCGCAAGACATCTGCATGCAATCGGATTTCAAGTTTACGCAGGATGTCTGTACAAAAATGGGGAAGGGGCAACAAACTTAGCCGAAGAATTTGATGAGAGACTTGTTGTCATGCAAATGGACGTTACAAAGGAGGAAGAAGTTACCAAGGCCTTCGAAATCATAAGGGAGCATTTGAAAACTACGGGAAGAGGTATTTGAATTGTTTGTATTTTACAATTTATTTTATACTTTTGCAGAAGTTAAATTTAGTTTGAAACCAGTGCTCCTGAACACACACCTACACACTATTAGTACCCTAATTCCTCGGGTATAAGTCCATTTCGGGTTATAAGTCCACCCCCTACATTACACACAATTTTACATACAAGTCTTTCATTGGGCAAAAGCCAAGGGTGTGATTTCAGCCCAACTGACTTTTACAAATACTTTCTGAAAAAAAAAAAAAAGATTGGCTTTGAATTCACATGCAATGCTGAAAATTGCCTTTCGGTTGGCCATCCCTGAAAATGAATGTCAATTTAAAAAAGGTTTATTTCTTGTGAAAAGGGATTTGCGTGCATAGGCAAACCCCCACTCATAATCAGCCCAATTTTATGTTCGGGGATGGGGGAATTTTATGTTTGGGGATGGGGGAATTTTATGTTTGGGGATGGGGGGGAGGATGGGGTCTGGGCTTCCAGAGGAACTAGGGTATATGCACTACTATCAGAAAGAACATTATTATTACAATTATCATTATTATTCAGTTAATGAATATTCTTCATAGACCATTATATCAACAATAAAACATAATCACATGATGCACTGTCTACCAGTTTGTTAAAAACTACATGAAAACTTATTCTTGTGTGCATATTGTATTATCCATTAGAGCAAAGAAATTCATATAAAGAGCTGAAACAAACTTTAGCATTTTAAATAATAATAATAAATAATAATTTGATTAGAACTTATATTTATAAGTGTCTGACTAAACACAGCTCAGTGATCAATTAGTATCCAGCTGGACATTTGACCAATAGCATCTAGCCAGTCACTCAGCTTTATCAAGGGTGCTGATAACACTTGAAACTGAAACATACAAATCTGTTTTCCTCAATTATTAATAACAATAATAATTGGATTTTAGCATAAATAATTCCCAATATTTTTATCCTAATTCACTGAGAAAGTGGCTTTTGAATTAGGGGCTGAATTTAATAATAACAATTATAGGTGGGATTCACATATCTCATGATGATATCGTAAAAATGCAAAGAAAAAACTAGTATAGGAAAAGTTAGTACTTTTCCTATACATACAGTAGGAAGGCTTCAACAATTGGTTGGGGTGGCATAATACTGATGTGTTTTATTAGTTCTGTCGACCATGAAACTTGACGTTCGATGGTCACTTGAAGATGTCTATAGACAAATGTTCTACACTATTTTAAGACACTAATTTGATTGGACATTCCAATTAGAGTTAATTAATCTTGTAGAGAATGTTTAACAAGTACAGTACAGCTAACTGATGTAATACCACAGGGTGTAAAATTGGCCTGGTAGTGTGCAATTACTGAGGTAGTGTTAATTTCTTGAGTTTTTGGGTGATTCATCCACAAAGGCTGATCAAACTTGACTCTCAATACCCTTTAAGTCACTTATGAGGGTTTGGAAGTTAGGTTTTTGGCTGTTGAAAACCATTAAAAGTTTTTCTTTCCAGGATTCAACCCATAACCTTGCAGTGGCAAGCAAAAGGATGATCTGGATATATTTGAGAGTTTTATTAATTATTAATCTTTTGTATTGCATTGGTGGTGGTGATACCAATGGCTGGGTAGCTTTTGGGGTACAGACTAATATAGTAGTAAACATATACAACAAATTCAGAATAAATCTTGGTAAGGCCATTCAAAAAGCACAACTACCTGTATAGCATTAGGAAGCTACTGTGGGTATTTCCTGGGTAATTTAATTAAACTTCTAATGTCTGATTGTGTTAATTAATGCCACTAATTACTTAGGCTACTGACTAAGGCATAAGGCAAAACCCCAAACATGACCAACTGATGACAATGTCAGCCTTGAAAGGCCGAGACTACCGAGTGGGTGACAGGAACCAAACACCAGATCAATCAACTTTTAACTAAGTTCTTCCTGCTTAAATTGCAGCAGAGAGGGAAAAATAGGGTTAGCGAGGGTAAGCAGAGTTTGGTGTTTTTTCTTGTTAATACAAGGTGACATAAAGTGGCTTGCGAGGACTCCAATTGATGAGAGCAGACAGGCAGGCAGGGCCTACCAATGCTTAATACCCTACCAAATGGTCGGCAGTTAACCATGAAGATAATTACATCTGATGGACTTATTGAGACTGTGAATGAAATGGAGATGAAAGGAGACAAGGAATGGAATTAGATAGAAATAAGCAATCACACAAAGGGGATGTTAAGATGTAAGCCACTAAGCAACTCCACCCAAACATGCATGAAGTGTCTTGTCCCAATTAACCAAGACCCTGTGGAACACAATATGATAAAAACATTAAGGATCATTAAAAATGTGTCTGTAGTGTGATTTAGGCTGGGAATATTCTGATCCAATTTTTAAAAATATGGGGTTTTCCTAGATATTTATCAATTTTCTATTGCTTTTTCTATGTGTATTGCTGATATTTTGTATTTTATTACCAATGAATTGAAGATATTTATATTGAATGGATTATCCTTTGGTATTTTGTCAAATAATAAGCCAAAAAAGATTAAAGAAGTTCTTTTGAGGAAATTACATATCATTCAGCAAATTCGATCACTTTCAGCCCCCACCCTTTTAGACCTGTCTCTTATACACATCTTGTAATAAGAGGGGGGAAAGCTCAAGTTAAATTGAGAAAGATAGGAGGTTACTAGGTTACATTGTAATTGAATCAGAGACTGTGAGGACAGTGGCCCAGATAAAACGTAAGTTGACTGAGTGCATACATTGTTATAGTCTTAGTGAATAGACGGGTTATTTAAGCAACCTGGTTATGTCCACTATTGTAGCATTGTGAGCAGGTGCTAACTACTTTGATTTGATTATACAGACCTACTCAGACGACACTGTATACTGTCTTAAAATAGATTTGGCAAATAATAGCGGTATTGTGTACAAACAGCGTTTATAGCTATTATACTGTCAAAGTTGGTCAATGCACTGGACAGTACTGCCACTGGGTCACTGGTTCGAATCCATAATGAGGTTGTCAACCATTATCATGACATTTAATACTTGATTTTAGCCAAATCCATGAGGTTTGGGGACACATTTGGCTGTAGAATTATACTGTTACATTCTGGAAGGCAAAGTGATCCAATAGGAAATTTTTGACTAAGTTCATTGAGACATCAAGCCCACATGACCCCTGTTAAGTGTCAGAGAAAAAGCACCAGCACGCAAAAAAAACTGGGCAATTTTGGACCATTAATTATTTAAAGAAAATTTTAATACAGATTTTATTTTATTCTTTGGTCTGACAAATTGTTGCGCCAACAACAGGGCGTAGCTTAAACCCCCTCGAGTTTGTATACCATCCATATGTAAGACTTATACTTGTATGTTATGATATCAGATAAATCACATTACTTCAAAAGAGGAAGGACATTTCTCTGAGTTAGGAATATCTTATTTTACTACTTAGCAAAACTTTTTTTTTTGTCTTACAGAGTTATGGGGTGTTGTAAACAATGCTGGGATTAACATCCTTGGAGAGATTGAGTGGCTTGACACGGAATTGATAAAACGGGTGTCAGAGGTCAACCTGTGGGGCATGGTGAGGGTTACCAAAGCAGCTATACCAATGCTACAAGAGAGTAAAGGTAGAGCCATGGAGTATTGTTATCTAAAGCTTAATCTTGTTAATAATAAATCTAATTATTACATTAATAATTCATTAAAAATCATAACATTTATCAATATCATCACTACAATACTTGGTTTTTTGTATAATTAATATTAAGTGTGGTTTTTTTTCTTCTATTTTTTTCATTTTATTCATGCTTTATATATTTTTATAGAATATGTTTACCTTTTTATTAGATTCCATAAGTGGTATATTTTTACTATTGAGTGCAATTTAAAAAAAAAACTTTCCTAAATAATTTTACTGATTTTAATCATCTTTATTTAAATTATTTTTAGGTCGTATTGTAAACATTGGCAGCATTTGCGGCCTTGCCAGCTTCCCGTTTAGCGCCCCCTATTGCATCTCAAAGTACGGGATTGAGTCATTTACAGATGTTCTACGAATTGAACTTTCAAAATGGAGTATAAAGACGATGCTAATCCAACCAGGAAATTTTGGATGTAAGTACAGGTGTGGTCATGAAACAGAAACCAAAATTGATCATGTTTTGATTCTCACAAATCAAAAGTATGGAAGAAAAAATACAAAAAAATAAGATGTTAAGAACATTTGTCAATATGGTCAGGGGTGGATCTAGGGGGGGGGGTCCAGAAAAAAATAAAAATAAAAAATTGATTGCCTAAAATGCCTCAGAGGTTATTTTCGGCCGTCCAAAACACAAACATTTTGAGAGGGCATGCCCCTGGACCCCCTAGGGAAGTATAATCTCGATCACTTTCAGCCCCCACCCTTTTAGACATCCCTGGATCCGCCCCTGATGGCACCTCTAGACGGCCAGAAATATATTTGAATATTTGTTTTTTTTTTTTTCTCTCTATTTTTTTATAATTTTGAAAAAATATAGGAAGCCCGGGCTGGCTGCGCCCCCCTCCCACCCCTTGAATCAGTCACTGATTACACAGAAAGTTTTTATGTAATCATAATAGTTTTGTATCGTTTCTCTTCAGCTGCTACAAGACTTATTACCAAAGACAATGTGAAAACAGTCATAACCGGAGCCCAAAGGAACATGACAGAGGAAGTGAAACAGAGATATGGCCAAGCCTATTTTGACAGTATATCCCAACATCTATGCAGTCTTTCAAATTCATACTCAGGATCAACCGACCTCACTCCAGTGATTTCTCAAATCACAACAGCACTACTGGTAGAACGCCCTCAACCTCGATATATGCCTGCAACATTTCATTGGAAGATTTTTATCTATTTACACTCATTTCTACCTAGTACCATCACAGATCTTCTTTATTGTAAACTTTTAAACTATTTTAATAAAAAATTAAAATGTAAGAAACTTTAAAGAAAAAATGTTTATTTGAAATAGTTATTAATATTGATGGTATATGGTGTAATAACATGTAAAGAATGAAATTAATACCAAATATAATGCAAAATATGAATGATGCAAAAGAATAAGATAAGGTAACTAATTTATATGAATTTCAAATACAATGCAATTCAATAAGCACTGTTAAAGAGTCCTAACTTTAATCTTACTTTAATTTTATCTGTATCTGTTAAAAAAAACCCCCAGAACATTTGATTACATAATAACTTATAGAAGGTCAATATGATATTGGAAACTTATAATCGGATATTTACTATGACAACATATATAATTCCACTACTAGGTTTAATTGCGAGAATAGGTGTGGGTATGCGGGTCACTATGACCTTTAGTGGAGTAACGTCCCTACCCTGTGATACAGATGTTGTCATTCGGGTTGTATTTGTGTCGCGCTAGTTTTTGTTTTCATTTTCTTGGCAGATAATAGCCAATGATAGCTCTTATAGCAATAAAGAACTGAATTAAAATAATTGTATTTTTTTAAAAATGAATGCTCATATATATGTGTTAATAAAGGAATAATATATAGAAAACCACTGGGATATTTCATTCTTTACTTACTTTTTTTTTAGCTCGACCGGGAGTCTGATCTTTGGCCGGGAAAGTTTAATGTGGGTACACTGATGAGGCAAAGTTATAATCATTTCATCGCTGACTTTATGGGGACAAAGAACAGTCTATGAAATAACACAAAAATACACAGACAATAGGTTAAAAATATAATTTCATCTCATCTACTCTACATATTTACTTTTATTTGATGACAAAAATGAAATGATTATTTCTTATTTATTTTTGCACTTGCAAAATTTTAAATTTTGTAGAAGTGGTTGGCATATCGGTTGTGGCTTGGACTCCCAACCTCGAGGTTGGGGGTTCGAAACTCTGGCTGTGCAAATCGCTTGTATCCTTGGGCAAGGCACTTTATCTACGGTTGCCTCTCTCCACCCAGGAGTACAAGTGGGTACCTGGTAGGTTCCAACACAACTGCGCTGATTACTACCTGCAACATTATGGAATAATAATATAATTTAATTTAATAATTTAATTTGGTCTTGAGTATGTGTTCCATATGTGTTTGATCCAATGACCAGGGTAGTGAAGCGCTTAGATGCTTTGTGCATTTAGCGCTATATAAGAATGACATATTATAATTATTATTAAATAAGATGCATATTAATTGTCATTTTCAAGCAGTTGATATAACTGGAGATGTTTAGCTCTTTTGATTTTGAAATTTACTTTCCTTTAGGAAAAATCCGAAGACTAATAATAATATTATAATACATTTCTACAGCACCTATTAAATAAACAAGTTCTCATAATCTGGAAAGCGCCGATGAGGGCAGTATAATATAGACAGTGGAGTATATTGGAACTATAAAAAAAAAAGATCTATTAATCAATCAGCCAAGTGTTTCTATTAATTAATCAGGTGAGTGTTTCTAGAACTCCTCATCGGAGCTAAAAAAAAAGGAACAAAAAAAAACAGGCTTGTTTTTAAGGGATGCTACTAACTTTGTCTTATTTTCCTCCTTACCTAGCACCTTTGTTCAATTTTGAGTAGCTGCCTTACAAATCTCTGTTATTATTATTAAGAAGGCTTGCAATTTGTCTATTGGGATATGTTTACCTTTTCTCCGCAGCTTGAACAAAATTTCCCATCTTTCAGTTCATGGAAAGTTTGTTTACTGTTAGTTGAGGTGTATAGCATAACACTGTACTTGCTTAAGACAGTTTCCTGAGGTACAAATGGATCCTGTTGGCTACTAAGCAAGTCAAAACTTTCAATAGGCTCAGCAGAAATTGATGAAACTAGAAGTTTAAGGAAAGGAAATTATGAATACGACATGAGGAGAGCAAGTGAAGTGAATAAAGGAAAGTTTGAATGAATAGAAAGAAATCAAGTCTTTGAAGACCTGTCCAGACTATCAAATTGTGACAGCCTAAATATGGTCATGATGACATCACATCATGACCATATATAGGCACATCAGGACTATATATGGGCAGTGTGTGGACAGACCTTAATATAAGAGTTAGTAGTTATAAATATGCCCCAGGTTTGGCCATAATACTATTTGTATTTTTACTGTCATTTGCTCTTTTAAATGTATGGAAACGGTCATCATTTCCTACCACCCTATAACTTTCTTCTAACTAATGTCAGCAGTAGAAAAAATAATTTAAGATGTATCATCCTATGAAAAAAAAAATCATAAAAAATTAAAAAAAAAATAAACTTGCCCATTTTGAAGTAGCATAAAAATTATCAACATAGAAATTAGTGTATTTAAAAAATGTTAACCCATCATTTTTCAGCAAAAAATGTTAGAAACACCTCCAGTAAGTATTTTATTACTTTTAATTATAATTATCTGGTTTAGCAATCAGGGTACATATTTTTTAAATTCAACAATTTCTTTGCTCAAGTTTATAATTTGCTTTTGTACTTGCATTTGTATCTTACTGCACAATGAGTAAGTTAATTTCAAAATTATTTTTCACTATTTGAGGCATGTTGTGGCAAAATGGCTAAGTTGTAGCAAAAATTGAAATTCAAGTTATTGGTATTTCCAGATACCTGAGTATGTGATCTTTAAAATGAGAGGTCATTCATTCAAATTGAACATTTCAAGCCTAAGTTATTGGAAAGTGAAAGTACAGTACTCTTAGAGTCAAGATAAACAGCATTTTGAGTAATTGAATTTCAAAGTTATTTGTGCATACACTGTTTAATAGAACGAACTATGAAAAATAACGTAAAATAAACAATTTGTTAAACCGCTTTCAGAACTAACCCAGCGGGCACACAACGTTTAATTCAACGTTGAATCAACGTTGAAATGTAGTTAAATCGTTAAAATCATTTTGACAACATATACTCAACATTGAATCAATGTTGAAAACAGTTGAAAATATGTTGTGTATTTAACCCAAGTCCCGGTTGATAATTTAATGTTAATACAGCGTTGAATTAATAAAAATATAAAATAAAAAAATAAGAAAAAAAAATAAAAAAAATAAAAATAAAATAAAAAAATAAAAAAATAAAAATAAAATATAGTTTGCATTTCAATGTAGAATCAACGTTGAAAATGTGTTACGTTTTTCAACCGGAATCCTATTGTTTATTCAACATTTTTTCTACGTTAAATAAACAACATTTTTCTACGTTAAATAAACGGTTGAAAATATGTTGAGATTTTAATGTTACAGTAACTACGTAAGTTCAACATCTTTTCAACGTCACGTTAAAATATAGTTTGCATTTCAATGTAGAATCAACGTTGAAAATGTCTTACGTTTTTCAACCAAACTCCTATTGTTTTTTGAACGTTAGATACACGTTGCAAATATGTGGAGATTTTAAAGTTAGTGTATCAACATAAGTTCAATGTTTCTTCAATGTGAAGTTAAAATGTACGGTAGTTTTTTATACAACTTCATTTCAACATTGAATTCACTTTGAAATCTGGTTGAGATTTTAACATAACAATTACAATGTTTATTCAACATTTTTCCCATGTTAACTCTAAACATAATTTTTATTTATATGTAGAATCAACATTGAAAATGTGTTGTGTATTTTTACAATGTATCCATTACTTACTTAATGTTATTTCAACAATAAATAAACGTTGAAAAATGGTTTAGATATTGAAATTACATAAACAAATTTAGTTCAACATCTTTTTAATATAATGTTAAAATATAGTTTGTATTTTAACATATAATCAACCTTTAAACTATGTTATGTTTTTCTGCCAAAAACCTATAGTTTATTCAACGTTTTTTCTACGTTAAAAATATGTTGATATTTTAATGTTACTGTGACAACGTTAAGTTCAACATTTTTACAACATCAAGTTAAATTATAGTTTGTATTTTAATGTAGAATCAACGTGGAAAAAGTGATATGTTTTTCAACCACAATCCTATTGTTTATTGAACATTTTTTAACGTTGAATAAACATTGCAAATATGTTGAGATTTTAAAGTTAAAGTATCAACATAAGTTGTTTTTTTTTTTCAGTTTCAAGTTAAAATATAGTTTTTACTCAACTTTATTTCAACACTGAATTCACTTTGAAATTTTTACAATACTGTATATCCATTACTTTAACTCAGAGTTATTTCAGCAATAACATTGAAAACAGTTGGATATTAAAATTACAGTTATAACATTAGTTCAACATCTTTTCAATGTAATGTTAAAAGTTTGTATTCTAACGTATAATCAACATTAATTAACGTTAAATAAACGTTGGAAATATGCTGAGATAGGCTAAATTTACAGTAACAATATAAGTCTGAAATCTTTTCAACGTCAACTTAAAATTGCATTTCAATGTAGAATCAACGTTGGAAATGTGTTATGTTTTTCAACCAAAGACCTATTGTTTATTTAAAGTTTTCTCAATGTTAAATAAATGTTGAAAATATATAGTTTTTTACTCAACTTTATTTTAACAT